AGAAAACGGATATAATAGCGATACAAGAGACCCATTCTAGAGACAACAATATGGCCAAATTTAATAAATTCATTCTGTATAGTTCGGGCACTACCTTAAATAATTGGTCTGGAGTTGCCTTCCTAATTAGTAAGAGAGTGCATAAATTTGTAGACAAATTCGTCCCCATTTCCGAAAGATGGTGCCTGTTGTATTTAAATACCTATTTTAAACGAACGATCCTAATTAACGTCTATGCCCCCCCCAATAGAGGGGAGAGGCTCTCCTTTTTAGACCATCTTGAAAACATTGTATGCTCTCTTCCTAAGAGCCGCAACTGGATAATTTTGGGAGACTTGAATATCAGGATTGGGAAGGAGGAGTTTTACATACATGATGGAGTGATTGGGAATGCGGCCATTCCCCAACCAAATCGCGAAGATAGTAGAAAGCTTTTGGAGTTGTGCAGGAGTTTTTCCCTAAAAATCGAAAATACTTTCTTCTTTCATAATGAAAGTAATACTTTAACTTATAGAAGGAATAATATTACTTCTCAAATCGACTTTTTCATTTCCAACATTCATGGTTGGTTTACTGATGTAAAAGCATCGCGGAATATAAGTATTTCAGATCACAAGTTAATCAAAGCGAACCTCCTCATAAAGAATTTATGGGGAAATCCCAACGCCTCCCCTCATTTACTCAGCCCAGCTTTTCTCCCCGGTCAATTAATGCTACATCTATTCAGCCCAGTTTTTCTCCCTGGACATCTAATGCTAAAAATTTACAACGACCTGAAGTAAGGTTGATATTTGGCCAAAACTTAAGAGACAGGATGACAGCACGTGGTACTACATCGGGGTCTGTTTCTTCGGAGGCGTGTTGGTCATCTTTCAAGAGTATTCTTGGAGCCTGCAATGACCTTCCTAACATCATTGGTTCTCCCCCGAGTCGTCATGAATGGTTATCTGAGGACACAGTCCGTTTGATAGCTGAACTTAGGTCGCTTGATAGACGCGATGGTGCCCTTTGGACGTCAATCCATAGACTCCTTAGGAGGGACAGAAGGATTTATTTAGCAAAGAAGGCTTTCGAGATTGACAGGGTCATGAGAGAAAATAGAACTTTTGATGCCTATAAGAAGCTCAAGCATTTCTGTAGTGCAAAAGTATTCAAGCCTCTCCCATCAATCAGGCTGGACAACAATAAATTGATTACCGACCCGGACGAACAGATGGCTCTATGGTTGGACCATTATATGGAAACCTTTGATTCAAGGAGACCAGTCGTATGTCCATCCCCTAGCCGTAGCGCAGTACCTTCTGAGGCTAACTTTTCTGTGGTGGAAATATCTAGGGCCATTAAAAAACTTAGGAACAATAAAACTCCAGGTCCAGATAATATCTTAGGAGAACATCTGAAAGCTGCCCCCTCAGAGGTTTCTCAGCTCTTGCTGGGGTTGTTCAATAGGATTTGGGTTACGGGGAAGATGCCAGCCGACTAGAATATGACAATTTTTTATAATTTCCCCAAAACCCCAAATCCTGTTAAATTTAAGGATTACAGATCTATTGCCCTCACATCCATCGTGTCTAAGGTTTTTATGATTCTTTTAAAAAACCGCATTCTTTCGACCACGCCTAATCTTCTGTCCAAATACATCTGTGCCTACCGCCCAAACAGGAATATTAATGAACCTATATTGGCATTAAAGATACTAATACAGAAGTGTGACAAATATAAATTACCATTCTATTTTATCTTCGTCGATTTTAAGCGAGCGTTTGACAGTGTTATTCATGATTCTTTGTGGGCAATCCTAGAAGGATGTGGCATTGTCGGAAACATCATTAGGATTCTAAAGACACATTACAGTAATCTCTTCGCCTCGCTTAAAATTAGTAATAAAATTTCTCCCCCCTTTAGAACTAAAAAAGGAGTAAAACAGGGGTGCGTCGTCTCCCCGCTGTTGTTTAACATAGTTATGAATAAAATAATTATTGATTCGCTGGGAGCTGCAAATCTTCTAGAACTTGGACTCAATGAGCCTTGGTATTTGGAAAATAGGGTGATTTGCTAAGCAGATGACTTAGTTATGATCGCCAAGAGCTTAGAGGAGGCCCACAATCTAGTCTTGATATTAAATTCTTACAGCTTAAAGGTTGGATTGGATATAAACTTCGATAAGACGGTGTATATGCCTTCATCTCATGCGCCCCCATTGGTTGATTGGATGGTTGGGGGAAAGTTGGTCAAGGTGGTGTCCTCCTATAAATATCTTGGGGTAAACATGGACTTTAGGGGTAGCTGTCACGAAGAACTAAAAATTAGAATTCATAATGCAAGGGTTGCTTTCTACAAATACTTCAAACTGTGGAAATCTAGGGAGATATCGGTTCATACTAGGTTACGTATTTTCAATTCCACAATCATCCCAATTCTCCTTTACGGCGGTGATATATGGGAGATTACGAAAACAGAGATCAGGAGGTTACAGGTGTTCGTCAACAAATGTCTTAGGATAATAAACGGCATTTTTTATCCTAACATTATCTCTAACGTTAACCTTTGGCGGAGGTCTCGTCACACTCTAGTGCAAGTGGTTTTGAAAAAGAAACGTCTGAACTTTTTTGCTCACATTCTGGGAAATCACACAAATAGTAGCCTGGTCCTGTAGGCGATCAATTGGTTATACTCATTCAACGGCAAAGTCTATGGGAATTATAAAACTTTATGGTTTTATAGGGCAGTGAAGGATATCTTGGATTTAAACCTCAACACGAATCAGTTTTTTAAGGTTGAATAAGGATAAGAAATCAATAAATAAATTGTTGAAGATCAAATCAAATTATTTGAACCTCTCATAAACTGCTCCCTGACACAGGTTATTTTTATTTTACTTTTGCTCCCTTTTCCTTTCATCTTTTATTTGCTATCATTTTTCTCATCTTAAAGTTAGGTCCCCCTTTGCCTTTGAAATCTATTATGTATAGAAGCATCTTATGGGTGTGGGCTGTGCTTATTTTGTCCTTTCCACATCAGCCCATAGACGTTTAAGTAATAGTCCTTGGACTATTACGCGTACAAGTACGTGCGGCTTGCCCACAAACGTGTGAAGGGCTCCTCATTTTTATCCCCTTTTAATTTGTCCAGTTAGATGGATATTGAGGAAAACCTAACGTAGCTCTGTTGTATCCATAACTAGAGGGCGTAAACGTTCTATATCACGTATCACGATTTCTGTTTTGAAAAAATCGCGGCGATTTGCTATTGCGTATCAAATCGCGCGATCGGTAACTATGAATGCTATATCATATTTACTGTATTTTGTATTTATCGCGTCTAAATCGCAATCGCGCCACTATGAATATATCTTATCTTATCTTGCACGTTGGTCATAGACCTGCCCAAAATAAGCGAACGTGAATTATATGAAGGCCTATCCTTCATATAATTTAGCCGATTTTTTTCTCAGGATACCGACAAACCTATTACCCAGAAAATAATTTATGAGTGGAACTAAACCCTCTACCCAAAGTAGCAAATTTAAAATTAGCAGGAAGTAGAAATATAAATAAGTTATAATGAGAAGTAGAATAAAAATAGAAAATTATTTATAAAAGAAATTTTCCAAATACAATGGTCTAAAAAATATTAATTTAAATATTTCAATAAGGGACATTAAAGGTGCCATTATCAATACTAAATAATCAAATGCAACTCCATATCTTTAAGAATTAACTTATATCCTGTATAATATAGTTTAATTTAATCACCAATAATTAAAAACAATTTAATTACTTTAAAATAGAGGCTTGAACTCTATGTTATTAGTTCCAATAATGATATAGATTCCTTTGGGAAACTCCTTTACAAGAAATATAAGTCCTCAGCATGTATTCGTCATATGTTCATATATAAGTCTCAAAATATGTTTGAAAACGTTCCTGTCAATAGAAGTTCTCTTTAAGAAATCCCAAAATAAATCTAATTCAGTCAAGGACCTTAAAATTCTCCCAAACCAACTGCCTTTACGGAATAAAAAAGGTTTAAGAGCAATGTCTTCTGGGGATTGATATAAGTGCCTGATGAATTAAATTATTCGAGGGGTGTCTCAAAATATGGCCCACCAACTCAATTTTCCTATATTCTATTGTTTTATGAATAGGAAGAATATCGCAACTCGCCCATAACATATAATTAGAAGTGTTACGCGGATAAAAGGTCCTAGTTAAATATCTTAAACATTTGTTTATAAAAACTTGCATCTTGTTATTATCAGATATATTATCGTTCCACGTTTCCATACCATAGTATAAGGAGGCTAATATTAAGACTTTAAAGAGTCTTATCTTTAAAGGAATATATATTTGCCTAGATGACCAAATCTTCATCAAGGACCTGTACTTTACCCTAGTTTTATTCAATTTAAAATGTAGATCTTGCTTTGTACCACCTTTCTTATCCAATAAGACCCCTAAATATTTCAGAATATCCGCTTCTGTAATCGTATTACCATCAATATTTAGAGTCACCTGTGAAGAAGTATAAAATGATGTCATCATTTTCGTCTTTTCTTCATTTAATGTCAGACCAAAGTGTCCCGCCTCTACAATGATACAGTTAATAATTGATTGGATGTCTGACACCGATTTACCTACAAGACATAAATCATCTGCGAAAGCGATAATATTTAAATTTCCTGAGGACCACTGAGCCGAATGTAAATTTCTAACTTTTAAAATAATATAATTTGTAATAAAGTTAAATAAGAGAGGCAATAGAACACAACCTTGTTTCAAACCCTTCATTATCGGGATTTTAGGAGATTTGTGGCTAGCATGAATAATAGGCATTGAATAATCTTTATAAATTAGTTCCAACAAACTTACCAAAACAATCGGGGTACCTACCTCCTCTAATGTCCTACAAAGTTTTGAGAGTATTATCGAATCAAAAGCTTTTTTAAAATCCAAAGCCACAATAATTAACTGACTCTTCCGAATTAAAGCTCTCTCTAGTTAAATTTTTACTGATAGAATCGCCTCTAAAGTGTTTCGACCTTTCCTAAACGAGACCAATGAGTCTGTAAAAAGTGGTTCAAGTAGCGGTCTTAGCCTATTTAATATAATATTTGCAAATATTTTATACACCACCGAATTTAGTGATATTCCTCTCCAATCTTCAAGAAATTTGGAATCTTTCGTTTTAGGGAAGTTAATTAAAGTGGCAGTGATCCAATCATTCGGACACACCCGTTCAAACCATACTCTGGATATAATAGGAAGAAGAATCCCTGCACATAATCTAGAGTCAGTCTTCAGGCATTCACTATATAATAAATCTTGACCACAAGCTTTATGATTCTTCAGTTTCTTAATTATTCCAACTAGTTCAGCTTTAGTTGGGTGAAAAATCCTGGCATCATTTGAGGGGGATTGAAACGTACATGAACTTTGTTGAAAATTTCTGGGGCTTATTTGTGGAAACTGACTATTCAAGGTATCGTTAATGGTTTGAGCCATTAATAATCTTTGTTGAACATTACTTAAACTAGCTTGTGGGGGCCAAATTTTCGAAGTAGTGGGTAGTTGATCTTTTAATGTATCAATAAAGGTTTGGACTATGGGTGAACTTTGTTGGGCATTAGTTAAGCTAGCTTGTGGAGGCCAAATTTTATGAAAATTTGGCAGGGTGTTGTTCAGGTAAGTAGAAATAAATAGGAGAAATAGATATAACCTTCGAATTAATTGTATTTTGATCAACTGAGCGAGTGTATCTTGAAAGTTGGTTTGAATAAAGTTTAGATTGAATAAGATCATCATGATTACCGGAATGCGTAGTATCGTAGCTAGGGAAAAAATTAGCATTATCACTTAGGCTTGTTGGTGGGGGCCAAACTTTCGAAGTATATTGATCAAGTAAGTTATGTGATTTAAGCTAATGTTTAGATTGAATAATGTCATCATGATTATCGGGATAAGTATTATCATAACTAGGGAAAAAAAATGTTGGTGGAGGCCAAACTTTCGAAGTGGAAGGAGGTTGATCAAGTAAGTTATAATGATGTGAAAATTTGTTATCGACGTAATAATTATTGCGTTGATAGGGTAGATGAGGATGTATATGTGGATGTTTAATTGTCACCTTTCTATTATTAGATTTATCACATAGATGATTGTGTAGTGTTTTAATATCCTAATCATGATAAGTTGGAGTCGAGAATTACAATGTTTGGAAATTGAAGGGCCTATATCAACAAAAGATTCATTAGTTATATTGCCATTTAAACTCTCATAACTTTCGAACATACTAGTATAATAGGAGTACCAAATGTTCATTTGGGTCTCAATATCAGTTATCAGGTTATTCTGGTGCCAAAGCTTAAATACACGGTGTTTCTGACCCGAAGTAAAATATTTCAGCAATCTAAAGGCTTTGAATGTATCATTAGTACTGAACAAGTTGCTAATTTGCATTGCACTATGTTCCAAATACTTCCTCTTGTCTCTCCTAATAAAAATAAACCTGAAATTTATGAAATTATCATATGTTTCTTACGTTATAGATCCAAACACAAAATGGCTGCTACTCAATTCAATATTTGCCACTTCAAATTTGATTTTTACGATCGGCAGTCTATAGTATTAATGTCATTGTACACATACCTAACATGGATTGAGAGATTCGAAAAATCGTCTTTGAATTGATAAAAACAATATTCCCACTTTGTAAATATAAATATAAATGAAACTTTTTATCTCACTTAATCCTTTCTTTCTTTTTTAGATTACCTTTATCAATTTTCATCTCATAATATTATCAATTACACATCAATGAAATCTCTACAAGATACTCAACTTGTATATTTATTTTGAACATACTCACATTTTTGTCAGTACTTATATTACAATTTTTTATACTCATATTTTTCTTTCATAACCAATAATTAAGAAGATAACCAAGTATATTCAAATATTTAAATATTCTTATCCTAACCTATTTATAATCTCCAATCCTTATAAATCACTCTTTCTTTATTTTTTTTCCCCTCCCTTAATGAATTTATTTATCACTAAATTTTATTTCATTCTTTTCTTTTTATCTCTATTATCTATTAACCACTATTTCTCAAAACCTTATCAATTCCTTTAATTTAATTTTTATTACTTCTTTTTCCCCCCTTTTTTAATCTTATTTTTTAATTACCTTACAATTAATTAACCTTAATCTTAATAACATTACATTCATCATGCTATTTTTTAACTTTTAGAATATCATAATAGGCTTGATGTCCCCAAAAATTCTTTTGATGATAGCCCTCCAACTACTAGAAATATGCATTTAATATTGACCCATCTACCAGTTTTACATTATTTTAATGTTTGTTTAATTTCAACAATAGTTTATTTATATTTTTGCCTGATTTCTTTATTTGTCTAGGCTAACCCTAATCCCTCACATTGCTACAAAACATGATGAATCTATTATTAAAGATAAGCAAAGAAAATAATGACGATTAAACAAACGCCTTACCCGTTCTAGAGTTACTAGTAGACCAAATAATAAAGAACTACGCTTGAAATGAACTCATCTGGAGGTTTATTTTTTTTATCTTATGTTTTATATCTATGTTTATTTTATTTTCACCCAGTTCTCCAAATTATACTATCACCACTACTAACAAATATAAACATTTAAATCTGTACTATCATTCACTTCACTAGGAGTTAATATAAATATTACTTTATCCGATTCTCTGAGAAACTTTCATGAATATTTAGAGGAATGTTCAAACTTGAATGTACAGTACGGCCAATTTCATCAACTTTATAATGGAAAAATATGTAGTAGTTCTGTCGTGGCCTTTAAAACAATACTTACGACCGTTTTATGGTTGAGTTAACATTGTCTTTCATTCTATTTTGGAAGGGGATACCAATGCTGACTGACAGAAATATCGTTTTGCGTGTTCAAACTTGAATGTACAGTATGGCCAATTTCATCAACTTTATTAATGGAAATATATGCAATAGTTCTGTCGTGGCCTTTATATTACGACCGTTTTATGGTTGAGTTAACATTGTCGTTCATGATTATATTTTAGAGGGGAATACCAATGCTGACATTGACAGAAATTTCGTTTTGCATTCTTCTTTTACCAGTATCCCAAGGCATAGGCATATCAACTTTATCAGGACGTATTGTGTTTTGTATACTGCTTTGTTAATCCGTCATCACTTTCATCTATAACCATAAATGATATAAAATTATACATTCATTATTTCCTCTCCAGACGACCGCCCAGATTTATTATGTCGCTTCAAAAATTAAAATGTCAACAAGGATTTGCTCTTAATTTTATCAAATACATAATAAATAATCCTCATTATTTTTTTAAAAAATTATCCTAAATTTATATGTCAATAAAAAAAAATATCTTAAAAAATATTTAAATAATTTGCATATAAATTTCATTAGTGTTTAATGGCATTTATGTAATTTAAATAGACAGCATTTTTTTTTACTTAACATAAAAAAATATATATCCCTTATCAAATTCTTTGACAAATAATTTCAGAAATGCAAGACATACATTAAATTTATCTGAAAAACAACAATAACCCTATATAATAAACAACATATTTTTTAGATATAATTTTAATTGATCATATTACAAAAAAGTATAAAAGTCGGTTATTTTATTTGTCATGATTCTCTAATAAGTGGTTGCCCAGGCCTTCCCAGTTTCCCTTAATACGGAATTTACATGTTTTTTCCCCATATTAGACTAATTGGTAGATCAGATATTTCCCATTCATGTGATGATATTAAAAATTTAACTATCTCCGAGGCGGGAAAAAATTTTCAAAATCATAATGGGTAGGACTGGGCTTGGAACCTCAAAATTAATATTAGCTTGCACCTGACTTGGGAATATCTTTTACAAATTATTAAGGGTTCAGCTGGGCTTGATATACTTTTTTTAAAATAAGATCTTGGATGCTTCCTAATATTGTGAGCTTAAACCTGGCATGACATCTATCGTAAAAAATGAATAAAAATCTCATTCCCTGTCATTTTTGACGGGCTTTCTATTAGTTTATCTTTTAATTGTTAAATTTCGATAACATGAACTGATTTACCATGTTCAAGACAAGTCCGAAATCGGGAATTTTTGGTTGGAAAGATAACTGTTAATTTTGGGGGCAATATTTTATTTTTAAATAAATAAATTGCCAGACATTCAGGTGTTATATCATAATATCTTATATATTTTAAAAAGCTATAATTTGAATATTATATTTGTAATACAATATTATAACTTTCCGACATTTAATATTATATTATCGAGGTTAATCAAATTGCATATTATTAGAAGTTAAATTAGATAATTATATAAGTGTATATATACAAAAGAATTACAAATAAAATTCATTATTGTTTTTAAACATTAATCGATATAATATTTGGCGATGAGGTAAAAAAAAGTCGCGCGATTGTCGGTCTTCGGTCAAGTTAAATGTTATATAGAATTATAAAAAAAAATTCCTGTTTATAAAAAAAAATAATATAATAATAGATTTGTTTAGAAATTATGGATAAAAGATGAATGAGATAAATGTTCTATTGACGACTATAGACTATATAAAATACATACTGAATGTGACAAATATGAATGTTCTATTGACTACTAATAGACACATAAAATATATACTGAATGTTAAAAATATTCCTCAAAATGTTCTCTTGACGATTATAGACACATAAAATATATAATGAATGTTAAAAATATTCCTCAAACTGATGTCACTTTGAAAAAATTATTTATAGCTTATGGAGGAATAAATATTATAAGTGATATATAAAAAAAAATTACTCTTCCCAAAAAAAATTGGGCAGATATATACATAATTGCACAACAACTTTAAGATGAAAGAACTGTTTTGGCATCTAGAATTGATTTCATTAGATTAAGTCGCGGCCCTACTGAATCCGTAATGAGCTATTTAAAAAATATAAGGGAGCTAGCCCGAAGATGCGAATTTGAAGATAATTTAGAACTAAGAATTCGCGATCAATTAATCGCCGGACTAAAGATGTCACAACTAGATAAAGAACTACGTTCACAATACTCAGATACTAAAGACGAAGACCAACCGTTAAGTAGTGTTGTTAAATGGCTTAGCCGCGACTACAGTCAAGTTTTTAGTTATAAAAAACGGCTCAGTCTCGAGCGGCTCAATGAGCCGTTTGAGCCGACTTACAGATACAATTTTTTCATACTTATATATACAGAGTTCGCTGTTGTTCTCGAATAGAAACTCTTATTTTATCGTTCTTTGAGCAAATTCTCTTTTAAAATGAGTATTTATCTTAAAATTTTTTTTAAGATTATACTTATTTATTCATTAAATGTTAGCGGATATTTATAAAAGTTCTAAATAAATTTATTTGCTTAAAATAATTGTGTGCTTCAATGGAATTGTTTTTTATAAATAATGGGCCTCATGGCTATACTAATTAGTCTTAAACAAGCACACACAAATATGGATGGCTTTATTAACTCATCACCTGATATTTACAACTGATATATATATATGATTGATTTGTATGTATGACATTTATAACATTGATAATGTATAATATAAATCTCATTTATAACATATCCCCACACATATGATCTTACAATTCCTCAATCAGCCGATTTGTAGGTTTCCTGGCTCTTTGTGATTTCCGCGTTTCTAGTTTTCCGTTATCTTCCACATTTTCTAAAATCTCAACTATATCCGACTCTTTATTTTTTATATTTTCCTCTTCT